GCAAAAGTGAAATACTACTCACACTGTTGCATCAATATTAACAATATAAAAATGTAATATATAATAATAATAATATATATATAGGGTCCATTTGTGTGCACAACAAGCTCACTCATGTTAGTACTTCTGTACTTATACCTAAGTAGGATTTTATAAAGGATCTGAGAACTTCAACTTTGGTTTATTATCAAACTTTATGGTGCTTCTCTGCCACAGTCATCTCTGTTAAACATTACAAACTGGGTTGAAGAAACATTTACATTTGTCATTTCTGTACACATTAGATAATAACGTTTACTTACTGCTGTTGTATTCACATGAAAAATAATTCCTTGTTGCATACAATACATTTTAACAACTATTTGCATATTTTACAGTTATGCTGTGTCCATCTGAAACCAACTGGCTTAATGTAAATAAACCATTAAGCTCAGAGGTCTTTAGCTACATAAGTTAACATGAAAACCAGCAGGTTTACCACTACAGTGGGCAAGAAGCCCCTCTTTGCCCAGTTGGTAATTCAGCCTTGTGAGAAATGCTGTTGAGCGAAACTTGCTTTAGAAACTACACACATATACATATTTTCATGAATTGCTGGTACAATTTGATAACTGTAATATGAACTGGATTTTTACAAATATGTTTTCATTGTCACAGACAATGGGTACAATCTACACAGTATACAAGAGGTGTTTGACCTAACAGTTACAATTTATCTTCCCAATTTATCTTCCCCGTTTGCCACGTGCCTAACATCCTAGTACAAGACAAGCTTTGTTGTGTGTTGAAACACGTGTGCCACACTGTGCCCCTATGTAACCGCTGATAAGACAGCAGTTACTGGTTGTAAGGGCGGCTTCGAAGCAGATTGTCCAGATCAGTCTTGTTGATAGTACCATAGGTCTGAGAATAGCTTCCCAGTTTGGCTCGAGGGTCGCCCGCAGCTGCCACATTACAGTTGCTCTGAAATACTTTCTTGCTGAACCGCGTCGGTGGCCGAGCCTCACGAACCTGAGGATTTGAACGCTGGTTCTGCATGGGAGGAAAAAGAAAGTAATTCCATCTATATCTTAGTAAAGCCACCAAGATTTAAAATATTAATATATTATATAATATATTATATTTTCATGCCTTCTATATTTAAACTAATATTTCATCAAGCACGTCATGGACTGACCAGGCGTGCAGATGTGACATATAGCCCAGAGGGCAGGGGTGGCTCATCTTTGCGAACCAGCGGGTTGTTCTGGGTTTGGTTTAGGGTCAAGGAGAAGGAACGGTTATGAGTCACAGGGGCTGAGCGACCACGCTGGAGAATCTGGTCCATGGACTAAACAGGGTAGAGATTAGAGACAGAACATAATACTGGGTGTGAGCAGCCAGAAATGAAAGGAAACAAGATAAGGTCACAGCAAGAGAAAACTGGATGGTCTGTTCTTACGTGAGCATTGGTGCCCTCTGTTGGTGATGTTGTTGCATTTCCATTACTGGCCTGTTCCACTGGTCTCCTGCCTGCTGCAGTGGCGTAGTGGTACTGAGGAGGACCAGCTGGACTCCGAACAAAACCATCTGAATGAAGAAAGGGAGAGTGTGTATATATACTGTATGTTATGTAAAATATATGCAGCTGTATTGTTTAGATTTCACTGTGAATGCCGACTGATACCAAAACATACTTTTTTTGATTACTTACTTTACTAATGTTTTACACCAAACTTAAAATGTCTAAACACAGGCAAACCTTACAATCTATAACAGACTTAGATCAGGAGCTATCATGTTTAAATAACAAACATATTTTGATCAGTACCAAAAAAGTACTCTAAAGGTCTGATACCCATCCCTGTGTTGAACCTGTACAGATAAATTCAAACATACTTGGGGCATGTGTGATGGGGTTATATGTGAGTTTTCCCAAGCTAGGGCTGGCTGTTGGACTCGTCTTCTCCACAGCTGGCGGGGTTGATGCACACGCGGGCACAACAGGTTTGGTGACGCCTGTGTGTGAAGGTACGTGGTTCGTCTCATCGGTCTTTTCATGTTGTGTTTTCCCCTCGTGTTTATCATCCACACTGCCATTTGCTGCCACTGGGCCTTTCTCTACTTTATCCTTCACACCGGGCTTCTCACTGCCTTCTCCCTTTGGCTGGATCAGCCTTAGCATCCCCTGATTAGTTCTCCTCTCCAGCATCATCTGCAGGTAAAGAAGAGGAAAATTAGGTTTAATCAGTGTAATCAGATAAAAAAAAAAGAAGTAGTATTTAATTGATCTGCTGTGTAAAAATTAAATTCAGTGTTGTCTTTCAAACATCTATGACTCATTTTGTACCTCATAAAGTTTGTTGCGGTACTGAACCACAGATAATTGTACATCATCATCCACTGGCAGCACTACATCATAGTTAAGAGCTGGCTCCTTGGCTGGACTATGAAACCTCCAGGGACAGAAAATGGACAGATGGTAATGGATAAATGATAGCACTTAATGGGACTAGCAGTAAACAGCTTTAATTTTGCTCTAGCACAGGCAGCATTGCATACAGAAGAAATGGGCAGAGAATGATAAAAGACATCTCTACAGTCCTTTTCATTAATCAATCTAAACTATTGATCCGTAATACCTGGATACATATGGGTGTTGGAGGGCTTGCTCAGCAGTCAGCCGCTTGTCAGGGTTGAAAACTAGCAAACCTCTCAACAGGTCCAGAGCATCGGGGGGCACAGAAGGCTGGAGAAGATCCTCCAAAGAAACCTGTGGTCTGGTGAAGGAGGAAAGAAAAGAAGAAAGATATTTTCAGTGGTAATAAAAGTAATAAAATGTTTGTTACAGTACTTAAGTATTTTTTGTGAGTATTTGTACTTGAGTTTTTATGTTTCTGTCAACTTTCACTTTTACTTCACTACATTTCCTAAATAAAATATATACTTTTGCTCCCACACACTTCCTGTAAGCATCTTTGTTACTACGAAATAAAACAGTAAGGTCATTGGCTAAGATAACAGACTGCTAGCAAGCAGGTTTGCCGAATCAGTGTGATCCTATCTTTTAAGCATGTTAGATCATTGGTGTATGACGTTACTGGGCGTGTGCAAACAAGCGCTCTCAAAGCCATGGTTAAATTTCGATTTCTACTGAAACACAGGCATGTCAGATGGTAGCGTTCATGATGGAAGCAGATTGTTAGTGCTATTACCACACCCAGTTTTTTATTTTTTATCATTTCAATCTTGTACTCTTCACACAGCTCCCTCTGGAGCCACAAAAGGCTTTATACATCTTTTTCAAATATGCAGTAGTACTCCCAAAGACCCGTAAACAGACTTTGATGTGTAATATAGGTGGAGTTTCCCTTTAAAAAGTGGAACGTGGGGGGTGTAGAAAGGAGACTTCCTTGAAAATATTAGCCCAAGTGTGAGTTGTCAATATTTAAGTAGAAAGAGTAAAAGACTAATATAACAGATCCTCTTAAAGTACACACATACAGTATATTTGCCATTAACAAACTGTCCTGTGCAAAGATCAGAAATACAGCAAGGGAGTTAGTTCGCTCAGACAGTTCGACTCTACCTGCTCACTCAAACATTCTCTGCAACACACCATTTTCAACAAGGTGGTCTCTTTAAACGGTCATTGCTCAGGTTATGATTTTGCTTTGTCACTGCTGTGTCATTGCATCTCTGCAATAATCGCTGAGCATGTAGTCAGCCCCACCTCCACCTGTAACCTCTGATAATGATCCTCCCAGTGGAGGGGAAGAAATTTGTTTTCGTCACTCCCTAAACTCGCTCTGTGCCAGGATCGACAAGGTCAGAAAGAGGCCAAGCATGAACTGTGCACTCTGTATTCACATATAAATAAATTATAATTCACATTGACATATACAAAAAGAACTGTGTACATTTTCACTATATAAATAATATAGAAGAAAATATTTACTTACTTCAGTAACATCCTCTGAATGACAGAGGATCCATATTCAGACTTGATTGCAACAATATCTGAAAATTAAATTGCATTAATTAATTCATAGTAATGAATGATGTCCTAGCCAAAAATAAAGTGTGAAGGGTTTATGTGAGTTTAAATCTGGAGTTCTCTTTCCTCACCCTCTGGGCTGGGGTGTGGTATGGCACTCATTATCTTCTCTATTTGGTTGATGGTGGAGGTCCCGGGGAACAGGGCTTTCCCCAGCAGCATCTCTCCCAGGATACAGCCAAGGCTCCACATGTCCACACCTTTAGTGTACCTTTGGAGAAGATGAACTGCTTTTACAGTCTGGTACACTTATAACAAAGAAGTATTCTGTCCCTCAAATTAAAATGCCATCTTCATCATTGTTAAAGTCCCCCTCCAGTCAAAAATATATTTGTCTTTTTCTTGTGTCTAGCAGTATCATTTTAGAAATTACATTTTTTTTGAATATTCATATATTCTGTAATTTTTTATGAGGTAGAAGGAGTAGATACCTTTTTAATATGGGAATTATATAGCGGGAAAAACACATCAGCAGCACATTATTGTTCCAAGCAGACTATTTGTACAGCAGAAGATGTGGTGCAGAGACAGATGCTCATCACAGTTGATACCTTGTGGATCCCAGCAGGATCTCGGGAGCTCGGTACCACCGCGTCGCCACGTACTCCGTCAGCGCTGGATTCCCACTGTCCTCTTGGATCTGGTTGAGTGATCTGGCCAAGCCGAAATCACACAGCTTGACTACACAGTCAGTGTCCAACAGCACGTTGGACGGCTGTGGGAAACAAGGCAAGAGAAACATTCTTCACATGGACAACAATAGTTTGATTTTCACTTATCTACAGAGAGGTCAGCACCGAGGTATAAAAACAGAAAGGGATGAAATTCTAGTCTCTAGTGTCAGAGGCCATTTTGTGTTGCCATGTCAGCAGATTTCCTGCAGACTTGTGCAAATGTCACTGAATGTTTTCACATACACACAGTTTTCTGGACATAATGACTGAGATCTTTAGCTGTACAAATATTTTGATAATCAACCAATCGTTAAAGTTATGTTTTATTTTCTGTTTCATATCAGTGCAGACTAAACATCTTTGGATTTTTGGACTGTTGGTTGTACAAAACAAACAATTTGAAGACCTCAACTTGGACTTGAGAAAACATGACTTGCATTTTTCACTATTTTCAGACATTTCATTGACTAAATGATTAACTGATTAATCAAAAACTTCACATTCATACAAAATGCCAAAGTTACACTGACAAACATTTACTAGCACCACAAAACAACATTAATAAAGGGAATCATTAATGTGTGAATACAGTATGCAGCTATATCTTTTAATCAATATAGGGGCACATTTTGTTACTTTGATATGTTTAAATACTTGTCATATTACTGTTAATACAAATGAATTCACAACTAATGCTTGATATTCTGGTATACCTTTTGGTCCCTGTGGATAACATTTCCTGAGTGCAGGTATTTGATGGCTTTGAGAAGCTGGTACATCACATAACGTTTGTGGATGTCCTTCAGTAGAGTGCCTTTCTTTATCACTGCATGGAGGTCAGTGTCTGGTACAAAGAAGAAAGTACAGTGTTAATACAGTAACATTTACCAATGATTGGATTATAAATTATCCTTAGTTATACTCAAGATTATTCTCCACCATGATTTTGACACCTCTATAATCATACACAATGATTTCAACCAAGTGAGAAAAGAGAGAAACAGTGGAGGTTTGTGCTGGGATGCTGGTGTACAGTCGTGGATAAGACTGCAGAGAGAAGAGGAGGCCAATCTGTGGACTCAGCAGTAAGATACTGCAGCTAGCCAAGGGAAGCAGAAGCCCTTCTATACACACAAACACAGTCACACCTTGGCCTTTTCAGTGCCAAGTTAAACTGCTAAGAACAACTGTAGCCTTTACTCTTCCCCATGTGTCACAACTGACTGAGGATTATTAGTTGAAGCTATGTTCGTGTGCAGCACTATGACCATACATGAACTTCCAACACTCACCCATATATTCGAAGATGAGGTAAATGTCTTTATCATTTTGCGCTCTGATGACATTTAGAAGTTTGACGATGTTGGGATGATCTCCAAACTCCTGCACACAGAAGAGAGATTTTTGTTTAGTAACAGAAAGCACACAAACAGAGAAAGCCCACTCTGGCTACTGTCTGACCCCGTAATCACTGGCAGATATTGTGTCAACGTTGTGTAAACAACGGTTTCAACACAGGTTACATAATGGTCACTGTATGTATGAAAACAGCTGATTAGAGTGGCCAGTGACATAACTGAAGGTCACATGAATGCAGGTCAGTAAAAAAACAATGAAACAGGAATATGTTATACAGGGGTGTTCCTGTGTGTTTAACAGCTGCCTGCACACCACATTTCCTTCAGGATTATAATGAAGTTCAAGTTGAATGAAAACAATATCTAAAAGACCAACTGATATTTTAACACCGATGCACTGCAGAGTCCTTTAAATATTTAGAAAAAGCACCAGAAACATGTAGGTACGACTGCAGACTGCGTGTATCCTCTGCAATACTTGTGTATCATTCGTGGTGGACATAATTTACAGAGATTTCACATTAAGGCTGTGCAATTTTTGACCATGTTGTACCAGCAGTGGTCTGCTTAAGAGACAATGGACAATGTGGACAATGTCATGGCTCAGTGGCTTTCACAATGTAAACTTAACAGCTGCAAAATCGGTTTAGAAACCTTTCAAGCGTGTTTCCATGAAGCAATTAAATATGACGAAACAGTACTGTGCAGAGTAGGAAGGGCATGGTGCAGCGACTGTAACAGTATCACAGGAGCAGACTTTTAATCAATACAGCGAATTACCTGTAAAATGTTTTTAAAAAGCAATATAAAAGGGAAATACATAGATAATAAGGAATGTATGGAGCTCATTCGCTGACTCACTGGGACGATCACTGTATATTTAATGAACGGTTCAAGTGCCCCTAATATTCTGTACATGTAACACAATCAGAAAGAGACTGGACAAAGAGAGAAAGAGAGTGGGGCTGAGGTTATAAATCTTTCAGTCTGTGGGACTTAAACTAAGAGAATGATAGTGTGACAGTGACCTTTATTTAACTCAAATACAGTCATTATTGTTACCTGGAGGAACATGATTTCCCTGAATGTCCGCTGCAAAAGGAGAGAAAATTACCATTAGGATATGTACTTTACAAGCAACATGCAGCCATAAAGAAGGCACACACCAGCCTCCGGTTCTATTTAATCATTAGCCAAACTTGTCTTTTCATTGAAACAGGACAGGAAGCCAATTTTAGAAAGGAGGGAAAAAAACATTTGCTGGATAATTTGAGTTATTTGAGCCACTAAAAGATATAAAATAATATTTTTTCCTTTGAATTGATCATAACCTGTAGTCAAATGCAACCACTAATAGGTCACAATTATGACTTTATGTCATTGTCACTGCTCATACACATCAAGCACACACCTGAGCATCTGTCCTGTTCCTGAAGGCATCAAAGATCTTCTTCACGGCCACAATCTCACCCGTCTGTCTGTCAACTGCTTTCCATACAATGCCATAAGCCTGAGACAGACACAAAATACTGTTAACACAACATCTGGTCACCTCTTGCAGGAGGTGGCTTATATTCAGTCAAACATTAACAAAGTTTTAACTGCAGGATGTCAACGTAAAAAAAACAACACTGTGGTCTGTGCCATAGCCAGGAATTTTAAGTCCAAGCTGCTCCTTTATCCCCATCTGCAAAATGTTCTATTTATTTAGATTTTTAATTAATTCAGCATTTGAAGGTCCAAGATTTGCTCTTCATGATGGTCTAAACTAAAAGACTCTACTGTGCCAGAAATGCCGGAGGTTGTATTTGTTCTATGTCTTAATTGTTCTCGGTTAAAATAAACAGAAAAAGGTAAAGACACGACCTCTGTGCCCTCAGTTAGCTACAGCTCTGACTATGGTAGAGGGAGAGTCAGGGTGCTGATGTAGGCGGTGAAGTGAAGCGTAACAGAGGCAGCAATGAGCACACGGTTATTGTATGGGCAGAGACACAGGGAGTATTCCTGTCACTGGAGGCTCAGATTCACACAGCCCGGATGACTCCACGGCCGTCGTCTCTGACAAAACCCAGACTCCAGAGGATTAGATAGTGGTGTGCATTTACAGGGCAAAGTTTAAAAACAAATAGCAGTACATTCAGAGCTGTAAAAGCACTTTATGACTCTCTAAAGCCAATTAGCACAGTGCTGCTCACTATTGTTCCCCGAGGCACCGCTGCCATCCCACCAGTCAACTGTAAACAGGTTGAACAGCTGTGTAACATGAGTCACAGCCGGCCTCAGGTATGACTAGTTAGCCAATATGACGAGAGGACGTGGCAGTTACCACCTGGCCGCTTTTAAGCAGAGCAGCACTTTGTGAGTCTCTGTGGGCAGACTATGGAAAGAAACCAGGCTGCTTTTAGTCATGTGGCAACCGTACCAGTGGAGAGAAAAACAAAAGGGTTTGGGACTCTAAAGGGAACCAGTGTCCTCACACATCAGCTGATCTGCAACGGAAAGAGTTTGTCCTGCCAAAGTAAATAAACCCCTTGCTTACAACACTGGTATTCACTGAGGACCTTAAGTCTGGATAATTACAGGAATTTCTCTTAAGGTCAAAGTACAGAGGGGGGCTTAAAGATGGATGTGGTCAACATTAATGTACAGGCACAGAGGAGGTTGGTGTAAGGTGGCTACACACTGAAACTTTTCCAAGAGGCATTCATGTGAAAGGTGCAAAAAGGAGTATTTATATTAAATCCAGTTGAATAAGATACAAAAACTCACTCACCCCTTTTCCAAGCCTCTTCTTGATTACATACTTGAGAGAGATGTGATCCTCCACCTCAGACACGTTTGCTGATTCATATTTCTTGCTCATGTTTCTTTCTGTTTTGTTTCTTGTGCTCATGCAGGAAGCATCACCATACTTTTTCTTTTTCTTTTGGGATTATCCCTCAGTGGGTCTTGAATGTCCGGAGAGCTGGTGTTAAAAACCCGACGAGAGCTGCAGCATCAAACTGAATGACAATTAAAAGTTTGCTAAAAACAAATACATGCAAGAAAAAGTCGAGCCTTGTCTGTGTCTTATCTGTGTATCCCCCCTCTCTCCACACATGCGACCCTGCAGCGCTCAGACGTCGCGTTGCTTACTGTTCAATTAACGTCGGTAGAGAAGAAGCAGCAGGTCCCCTCTTACGCTCCATTTAGTGACTGAAAAAAACAACTTATTTAACCTGTAATGTCCGGAGTGTGCTGCTGCTGTGAGTTGAGGTGAGAGTTAATTCTCGGTGCACAGAGTTTTTGGATACTCCCACACACACACTGCTGCAGTTTAACAGACGAGCCCTAGAGTTTTGTCATTTTCTTGTCGCCCTGGTAACGAGCACGCCGCTGCCTGCGTCTTAAAGGAGCCGCTCACAAAAACACGCTCGTCCTGACGCTCTCGTTCATATACGGACGCCATTGATGGACATCTGGTGTGTTGTCAAGGAGATTAGTAGTGTAGACGACGACGAGTGGAGGCACACACAGATACAAAAGGGTTTCTCCTCATGGCCTCCGTAGATAAATAAAATAAATGAAGCTCTACTGGTTCTAGTTCTGGGGTCAGTCCTCACAAGGGAGGAGAAAACAAAACCACAAAATAATGTGCGTCAACTGTGGGCTGTGATCAACACTGGCTGACCATTAATATTAGATGTATCAGAGAGCAAACAGCCGCATACGTGAATGATTAACCTGATAAAATACAAGTCATAGGCATGTAAGAAAAAAAAGGGGCAATTAAAAGATTATGGTTCAGAGCAATAAACAGTAAAGCTAGTGGACTTTAGGTATCAAACAGGGAAGGTCTAATTAAAGGTTCAACTCAGATGCATTGTGGGGAATGTAGGAGCCAGTGTTTTTGGACTTCCACACTAATGTATAAAGCTCAGAATATTTTTCCTCTCTCTTGCAAGTCCCCTCCTTACAATTTCCCTCTAAATATCACATTTGAAAGGGATTCATCTCTAAAGTAACTAAAACTGGTCCTGTGTTTATTAGATAATCTTGGGGGGGCTTAATCATGGGGCACTGTGCAAGATTTAAAGATCTTTATTGTTTTTGTTTGTGTTATGCTCACATGGTGCATATTCCCCAATAAAAGTGAATAAAATTATAAAACACAAATATCCTTAGTTAGTATCAGGGTGAGATATTGAACCCTCAGCCAGTACACAAACGTCAGTGCCTTTTGAGACTGAAGAGTGTGTCTGTAGTATTATAGTATCAAAAAGTTTAAAGAATCATAAGTTGGAATTGAATTCAGGATTATGTCTTTGACCTGATATTGCCTCATTTAAATCAGTTTTCTTGCTTTAGACCGTATTTTTTTCTTTTCACTCTGATGCATTGAGCTGTTTTTCTAAAAAATAAAAACTCAATGGTTAGAACATGTGTGTATTCCTCAAACTAATATACTGAATAAGGTATAATTTTGGTATAGTGTATTGTATCCGCACTGAAGACTTTAAAATCATTCCTGCATTGGAGTTACGTGTTGAACTCTGAGTACCTGGACATAATAAAGCTGACATGTATAATCTGCTGTGTACACTACACTTAATGTGAATTTGAAGCCATTTTTGCACTTAAGCTGATCTGGCTATGGATCATTAAGCTGTTACTGTAGCAAGTAAACAATTCAGCAGGAAAAATAAAACCATATCACAAATCAAATGCACATAAAAGGCAATCACAGCAATACAATTATGTTTTTTATATAAAGAAAAAGGAATAATAATTCTCTAAAACTCTTTGAAATGGTGCAGCAAGTAGCCGTTTGAGTGTTTAAATTTCTTTAAAGCTGCCCCCATTATTATATTTCTTCTTAACATCACGTCACAAGTTTTATCGTTTCGTACAAAGTAAAATACACAACACAATGAAGTTTGGAGGTAGATTTTTTATCTTTATTTCTAAAAAGGTGTTACATGCTCTTATTTAAAAATCAAAACTATTATTTACAATGATAAATCTTAATAAATATGTTCTCCCTAATGGTGTTTGAGGGTTGAAACATATTTAGCAACCACTTAATGTGGCCAAACCCTCATTTCTAAAGCAAATATGGATTAGGCAGGTTAACAGAAACATGACTAGAAAATGTACACAAATAACTCCTTCCACCATAGTTCAATAGAATTATTAATTTGAAATGCAGTCTAAACATCTTAAAGTCCAAACAATTACTTCAGCTGCATTTATTTTCCATTAACTGATAACCGACATTTTATTCTATCGACAGAAACGATTGTAGGATTCTACAGTAGAAACGTGTGTGATAGAAAAACAAACATGTACAGAACAAAAAAAAAAAAAGTTAATCTGACCCCAAGTCACAAGTAGTGGATAGAATTAGGGTACCAAAAAGAAAAATATATATATTCATCTTTCCAATAATACAAAGGTTTTGGCTGTTGCAACCTTTTCCTTCATGTGCAGACTTCGCCCCAATACAACTGTGTCATGCTTCTGGTGCTCTGCAAAACTCAAGTACAAAATTAGACCTTTTTTGATATTACAATACAAAGTTAGAAGTAAACTGTTTTGTCAACGGCAGGATAAACAGCCAATGTTTAAGGATTTATCACACAAGTTTGGCTAGAAAAGAGGCCAATGGAGCACCTCAGAGCAGAGGGGCGAGCCTGGTGGGCAAGGCTGCACGCAGCATTATGTACCAGACACAGCAGAGTATACAAGGCGGGGACGTGTGAATAGTACACAACATGAATAACGACAATCGGGAACGAAGGAAAGAAATGAGGGGATATGAGATAGAAAACCTGTCCAATAATAAATCCACTTCCCACCAATAGCCATAAGGAGGAAGTAGAGCGATTCTTTTTTTTTTTTTTAACTTAACAGATATTAGAGTCAGAATTTCAGACAGATGGGATCGACGATGGATAGATGCTTTAGGAGGAGTGGAGGAAGCGGTTGAAGGCATTGTAGGCCGACTCCAGATCAAACAGCATCTGGCGCACTTGATTATCATCCAACTCGTCTGAGGCTGACATGCTGCTGAGGGTGGTCAGCCTGGTGAGAACAAATAAAAATCAATGTAGATAACAGCTATGACAAAAGCCTTCATACTGCTGCACAAGTTTAGCACTACTGGGGATCAGTGTAGCAACTTAATGCTAAAGTAGTTTAACTTACAAAGTAACTTCTTGATTTTTATTCTAATATTCTAAGGAAAGTTATCAGGAACACCTTTTAGGAAACCCGGCTCTGTGTTTGTAATTCATCATAGACTTAAAGTTACCCTGTTTGGACCACTTGTAATGCTACGGAACAACATTTTTACATCCTGGTTGCTGTTGTTGGATGGATGTATGCAAACAACACCACAGGCTACCTTTATAATATTTTTAAATATGCTAAGTTGTGGTATGAGTTGTGAAAGACAACTTTGAGAGCTTTCCTGTTTGTCAATGGTGTGATGCTTCAGCACAAGTTATCTGATCTGACTCCATGACTTTGCTGTTGAGGAATGTGTACAGGTCTGACAATGCTCGGCTGTGTCATGACAGAGTAAACACATATTTACCATAGTAAATATGTGTTTAATATAGGTATTAATTAGGTACTAATTAACCTGTAGTCGTCAACTTGCAGCCCTCCGAGCCATACATTTCCATTTAAAAGATGCTTAAACATAATAAACATTACAAATTCTTTCATGACCAATTTATGAGGAGTCCAAACTGTTGAAAAAAAATGTCTAAAATGCCAACTATCAATCTAGGATCCATCTATGGTATAAAAATGACATATTTGAACACGGCTGTCCCTTAATAAAGTTAGAATTATATAAAAAAATTGAGGTAGCAGGATGGTATAATACGGTTTAAATGTGAGCACTGACAGTTCGAGACACAGTTTTTTTCTGACTTGTTAAACCACACTTACCCATAAGACATATCTGCTGCAAACAATCATATGTAGACTAAATGAGCGAAACTAGTACTAATTTACCTTGTGGACACCTGTCATCACAATCATCCTCACCTGAGGAAGTGTGTGTGTGTGTGTGTGTCTGTGTGTGTGTGTGTCACTGTGACTACAGTAGCACTTGGCATCCTGCACTGAACTGGCACAGGGCTTAACAATATAAACAATGCAAACTGGGTGGCTCAGTGTAACTAACCAGAGGCTGACTTTGTCTTTAGCCTCTGAGTCTGGAGGCATGTTGCTCATTCTGTTCATGGTTTCCATCAGTTCCCTCAGGTCTGGCTGGATCTGGAACAATGGAAAATAATCAATTAAGCGATTGTTTTAATTGTCTTTTATTTAAGTTTTATACTTTTTTTAAAATGTATTTACCTCATCCATGGCCCTGATCTCCAGTCTCAGCTTGTCCATCACAGTGATGAAGAGCTGGAGGTTAAAGAAGGTGAGATAAAGTGACAAACGGTGAGACACTGCTCGACATATTTTCCAACTTCCAGTGTCAGCAACAGGAAATCACAGTCTTTGCCAGTATCACAGTGTCGACCCACTGATTTTATTAGTTTGTCTGACTTTATGAGCTGAGATCAAAGTTGGCAGTGGATACAGCTGGCAACATCCATTCACATTCTTCAATTACTGACCAGAGGATGCACCAAATGAAGTGAAGCCACTTCAGCCACTCAGTGCTCGAACTGAACACACTAAATCATTTACTAAAAAAATCCGACTGCAACAATTTGTAATCTGGCACAACTACAAAATAAGCCTCTGACTGTTTAATATGATGGAGGGGAAAGAGGACGTACAGAAACTATATCTGCAATGCAGCGGTTCAGGTTGCCCTTGTCATCCTTGATGGTGATTGGCCGATCCTCTTTAATCCTTTCCATGGCTAGTGGGCAGTCGAGCTAGGAAACAAAAAGACAGAAGTAACATCCTTACTAAGACATTACCACAAATGTCTAAAACAAAACAGGTAGATGGGTTATGAGATTATTATTATTATGTCCACAAACAAAAATCAAATGTGTCATAAAATGATCTGCGCTCCGATGAGAACTCACTCTGTACTTCCTGCAGAAATCATCGATGGAGCCCACATCAGAGCCCTGCACCTGTTTGAACGCAGCCTTATACTGAACCAGCAGTCTGGAACAGGAAGCAGTGTACCTGAAAACAGACAACACATTAATAAAAACATTCAATCAAAGTCGCAGGTAGCATTTTTGTCTTTTAAGACACAAAATACGAACTCAAGTTTCACTCACTCGTTAGGTGTGACACAGTCCTTGATGTAAGCCTTCTCCAGGGCCTGAAGGGTCTTGACGACAGCAAACAACTCTGCCATGTTGTCATACCTTCAGACACAGGGTTCATAATGAGGTGTTACAACACGCTATGAATCTCTAGGTTATTGTGTATTCACGTTAGGCTGGTAATTGGTAATGTACGTGACACTTACTTCTCTCGCTCTCTCGCATTTTTGTATAATTTCACTTCCTGAAAAGACATGGTTTGTGGTGAGGGCTTTGATATTTCTTAACAAGTAGAATAGTTCACATATTTTTGTTATTTCAGTTCTGTTTTAATCAAGCATTTCTTGTAGAAGTTACAGCCATATCATTTTTAAAATGTCTGTTTGCCTTTCACTTTTCATACAATTTAATAAAAAATTAAAAAAAAGATCATATAATTGTAATTAATGTGTTTCTTTAAGGTTTATATACATTAAAAATCTTGTTTGCCAAGCATTAATTAAATGAGTTATGTTTACCTCATACAACTCAGGTTTATTGGCCGGAGCTGCGGGGAAAAAAAAATAGTACATGCTTTGAGTGACATCATCTGTCGTTTACAGGTGTTGACAATTTGAGTACCTAAATGTATTTACTGTTTATTTAATAGGTTTATTTGAACGTCTTACCTCCTCCCACACCTCCCGAAACTGGTATCCCATGAAACATGATGCTGAATTATCAGAACGTGATCTGAAAAGGATTAATGTTACAATTTGTCAAATAACTGACTAATAATTGTCGCCAAAACACCAAATCTAACTCAACTGCGAAGCTTTCCTAACAAGTTCAAGTTATAATTTAAATACTGACTTACGGGAGCTTTTCTCTCAGAGTATTATTGATATGAGATGTGTGTCCAATGCAGGAGCTGCTCTTTTAATACTACAGGGGAGTGGAACAACAAAAGCAGCGCTCAAAAGGACACTTTCTGTAAATACAAGTTCTAGCTACCGAGCCGATTGTTTACAATGATTGTTGGTATTTTTAGTATTACGGTTTCTTTCTGACTCACTTGTTCACTTCACAAGCATCACACAAAATTAACTCTTTTACGCAGTAAACATTTAACTTCAGCAAAGCCGCAATTTTACATAGCAAAAGCCAGATTTGTAAAACACGGCAGTAGCTCAGTCTGTAGGGTCGCAGGTTCAAGTCCAGCACGGAGCACAGTACGGACTGGTGTCAGTTCCACCTCCTGTGCACTGCAATGGTGCCCTTGAGCAAGGCACCTAACCCCTAACTGCTCTGCGGCAGCCCAATACTCCACCATCTCTCCAAAGTCTTGTGTCTATACGCCCTGTGTGTGCAGAATTGTATTTCAGGACTATGTGTGTAAAAATATTTCCCCCACTGGAGATTAATAAAGAAAATCTTCTTCTTCTGTTGTGCATCATGACTCAGGTGGCTTGTCACCTGACCTCAGCTAAACAATTCCCTTAGGAAGTGTTCGCAGATATTTATGGCACTGACTGCAACATAATATCATCAGGATCGTATTAAATTCAATTGTTCAGCAGGTATATGGCAGAAATAATTCTCAACCTTAGGTGTATTTAATGTCCAGCTTTAGGGTTGACAGGCAGCTGTTATTTTCTCTCAACTCAACATCTGAACACCACAGTTGTTGTGCTATAGGAACAATTATATGGTGTTATGAAAAGACTTTGTTCGATAAGTACAGGTTGGTTACAGCAGTTCATTAATACGATGCTTCCAGGGTGAGTTTAGAAACGCGAATGACTTACACTGATAATTAGAGAAACCTCTGAAAGTGCTGAAGAAACCCGATCATCGGCTTTCAAACATCTTGTTTTACCGAACAAGATAGCCCGAAGTTAGCCGTCGAGGCTAGCTCGTCAGCACTTCCTTTATGATTTATTATTAAAGAGCCTCACAGGTATTTGTTTGAGCACACTACACTGTGTATTAGTGGCCGTTGTTGTAGCAGCAGGCAGAGTTGTAACCCTATTTCAACATTTAAAGACCTTTAAAGACATTTAAAGACATTTTTTACTCACCCTTTCGGCAAACTGCTGTGACGTCAACGTAAACACACCCTCCTGTGAGGACCAGCAGACGTCAAAATATTAGGTGTCCCGTGTGCCTCACTAAAAATGGCAAGTTTAATACTGGCTTATCTTAACATACGCAGTTTATTCGTGGGCTATCTGTATCACATGATGTGAAGAAGCGGTTCCTGTAAAGAACAGATTTGAAGGCTTTACCACCCTTTTATCGTTTTCACACAGTCAAACGTCAGGGCAGCTCATCGCAGAGGCGCCAGACTCAAACAAAAGTCCGAGGAGGTTTCTGAACAAACACAGCTCGTTAATCCACTTAGATACGTTTAAATACGAGTAAAGGAAAGCTGAACTCATTCCTGTGCAGTTTTATGAGGTCAGTTCAAATATGATATGTTAGTTTGTGTAACGTTAATACTGAAAGCTACGTAATGCTATTATTATTATTATTATTAAATGCAATGTCGCATTAGCTGTTAGCGACCAGTCCTGTCACTTATAGTTATGGTAAAGTTATGTTATGTGAATTAATAATAAGTTAGTTAAGTAAACGGATAATGTCACTGATATAATGTTTATTTACTGTATTTCAGATCACTTCACTCTCCATCATGAAGACTTCCAAACCAGCACTGAAGAGCTCTGCTCAAGAGGAATGTGGTGTTTGGTTGGACACTGCGCAACTAAAACGAAAAGCTAAACAGGTAATTGTGTAAACTAGCTTTAAATTCTGACTGAATGGGAATCAAGTTACCCTTTAGATAAAGCAGGGAGTTCATATATTTAATAACTTTTACACAGCAGATGATCATAACACACACTGCCACTTATATCACGATTAGTAAGTTAACATACTCTCATTAGTAGCCTCTTAATCTGTTATGTCACCTAAGTGTCTTAATAGGATCATATTGTATTCTGCACATCTTATGTTTCAGAAACGACTCGCCCGTCCCATTTCTAAACTGCTGAATCCCTTCGCTGAGGGCGGAGGATACAATTTGGCTGTGGCACTCAACTTCACTCAGACCAAATTGGAAATGCCAAAGACCAAACAGAGCTCTATATCAACCTTCTTCACCGCTCAGCGCAGAGGTGAGTTGCGAAAG